TTTTTTTTTTTTCCCCCCCTTTTTTTTTTAAACCCAGGCATTTTCTACTTCCTTCAGAAGGTATTCCAAAGCCTAACATGTCAGACTAGCATCTGGTAACTGTTTGTACCACCACCCTGCACCCCGTAAATAGAGATGCTGCATTTGCTATGCATGGTTAAGTTAGAAAAGTTAGAGACATTACCAGTGAAAGGTAAGGTGCTTACAACTGTGCTAAATTACACCCTGTCATTCATTTTGGCTTTATTTTAAACAAGCTAGAAGGTAAACCCAAAAACTGGTCTAGATGTTTATTGAGGGGCCACTGAAATCATTCTTGAACGAGCCAAAAGGGATTTCTGCTACTACAGCCAGAACTTACACCAGGGAGGTAAGAAGATAATTTCAAGTCACTCTACCAATATGATATTTTATTCAATACCAGCACAATAGCAAGTCTTCCCAAGAAGGTTTACTCTCCATGAATTCTCCATACTAACCTCAGGGAAATCTCTCAGTACTTCAGACATTTCATTTCCTCGTTCTCCACAGCCTACATAAATGATGACATCACTGTTGGAGTATTTTGAGAGAGACTGTGAGATCACAGTCTTCCCACAACCGAATGCCCCGGGAATCGCTGTTGTACCCCCTTGTACACACCTGAGTAAAGAAAAAGGACTTTGATTTGCAGGGAACTCAAAACCAGCTCTTTCCCATCTTAGAATATGTTTTCCAATAAAACTCCCTAATTAAAAGCAGAGTGACAAGAGTCACATTCAGTGTTCTGAGTGAGAAGCACAGAGGTATTTCACTAAACCAAAAGACTGAGGGAATAAACTATCCTTTTCTTCTACTGCCCTTGAAGTTCATGAGTTATGCTGGTACAACAGCTAGACTTTCAGGCTTGCAGCGTAGCAGTTTTCACAGCTGGAAGCACCGATGGAATGCAAATGCTAAGAAAAGAACAACTGTACTTAGCTGTGCATTATAAGAATAAGCAGCACAATATTTTAGGACCAAAATTACTGAATTCAGTGTCTTGGAAGTTAGCTGCTTAAACGAGCATTTTGCATTTGAGTACAACAGTTTTCGTAAGTGGTGACCCCAAAACCATTGGGAACTATACATCCTCAAGACCATGGAAAGAGATGCAACTTATGTGTTCAAATAGAGGTATCAAGCGTGAAAGTTCTACCCTTTCTGTAGGTTTGGTGTGATTATGTTAAGTTTATGCTTGTCCATTCTTTTCTAGATTAATGCACTAGAACTATCTTGTTAAACTTATCTTCCTTTTTCCACTAGTAGGTTCTCCTGCCAAATATAGAAATATGAGGAATTCAGTTAAATATTTTTTGAGATTATGCTGTGATACATAGTGAAAGCTTGCGGTCTGTTCACCCTTAAAAAAAATTTAAGGCCTCCTCCCTTTGCTTCCCCCTAAAAGAAAGATTTCTTACATGCTAGAAAATAAAAGGTAGTACTTACGGGAAGAGGGCATCCAGGACCCGTTGGCCAGTTAATAAAGGATGATTGGCTGGTAACTTCTCAGTAACAGGACGGACTTGACGTACAGGCCAGACCTGGACCATAGTGAACTTCTCCTTCACACCTTCAAACTCCAGCTCTAAGACAACATCCTAACACACATCACCAGACATCTGAAGTAAGGAAACAGCTGCGCACTGGACCAGCACACAAATTCTCATCTCAACTACTCTGCACAGCTAGGTCTTTGATACCACCACAGATTTCTCCAAACCTCAACACGCTACCATCCCCTCCCGAGGGAAGGCTCTTTCCCATATTTACAATGCTACTGAGGGGGAAAAAGTGCAAGATGAAGCTTTAATTAAAAACATGCTTCTGAAGAGCAACTGAATTTTACATATTCATAAGATACTGTAGATCCCCACAGAGGTCAGCAAACACGGCATACTGAAGTGCCACTGGAAAGCCATATACATAGAACGTAAACGCACAAGATAATCATATAAACCCTGCAGGCAGGGTAGCAGAAGTGATCATGAAGTCAGACAAACTGTTGCATGAAACACTTTTTAGTTGGCATCATGCAGAACAGAAAGATTCCATCAATCTCATGAAAGAGACATGGAATACAACAGCAACTGCTGTTTGGGAGACTTACTGAAGTGTCATAGTTTCCCGGCGGAGCAATGTATGTAACTGTACCCCTGTTCCGTGGGGGCAGCATGATTTTGTGTTTGATAAGCGAGTTTTCATTCACTACACCATAAATATCTCCACCAGTGATGTGGCTGCCAACCTAAAATCAGAACAGGTCTATTAGTCATAAGTGAGAACTCCAGTTTTAAAAAAGAACCTTGACAAAGAACTGTATAAAATAACTATAGCTTTAAGTCTAGCACTGTGATTATTCCCTTTATAAATGCCTTGTTACAGCACAGTAGCCAATTTACATAACTCATTACACTAACACCACATTGCTAGCAACACTATCTGGGTTCAGGTGCCCTTTTAAGGCACAGACAGTAGCAATTACTGACTGATACAAGGAATTTTCATTTCTTTTATACCTCTCAGTTTAATGTGTTGAGCAGAGAGAGGATAGCATATGTTAACCCACAGGGTTGGAAAAAAGAAGATGCCAAGGGCTAAAGCAGTGACAGTTTCCAGCTCTTAGGCTATCTTCACCATTCACGAAATGTGTGCTACAGTTATTCTTTTTGCTCAAGTAACTTTTTGCTCCTGCTAATGCTTAGTGCAATTCCACTAAGCTCTTTATAGTTCTGTAAATACATTAAAACTTTGCAAGTTTCTCATATGCAGCAGCAACACACAGTAAGTCACATTAAGTAAGTTTTGCTGATCCCCAACTAGTCTCATTCATCACTACCGCCTCCTAGCACTCCTTTTTACAAACTTAATACAGCATTAACCATAGCTCCCAGCAGTCATAGCCTTGGCGCTCTGCTCTGGCTCCAAGCTCTGGGGATAGAGAAGCAAGACGGGAAGACAGGCTTGTCAGAACCTACCCGCAGATTTTTGGAGGGTGTGAAGTCCCATTTGACATCTCGGCTCAAAGCTGACACGTTGACACCTCTAGGGATATAGATACTTTTGGTCAGAGTGCTGATGTCCGAGAGAGGCCTCTGGATACCATCAAAAATAGCTCCCATAATGCCAGGCCCTAGTTCCACTGACAGGGGTTTGCCAGTACGGAGTACAGGATCTCCTACAGAGACACCAGCTAAAGATTTGCTGAGGAAAAGTTCTTCCAGAGAAAGGGAAAGAAACAGGGCAGAAGGCATCACATTCACAACATCATACTGTAAAACCACCTTTCTGACTTTAAGGTAATATTTTTATTACTATATTACGCATCACCATTTGAGAAGCATGTAGACTTTACATTAAACTCAAGCTGAAATTGCTAAAGCAACAAAGTTGCTCATCCTCCAGAGAGGCAAAGTAAGGGTAAATATTCTGCTTTACTATCATTAGTTCAAGTCAACTATATGGATGAGTTTACTGGAGTGCCAGGCAGCAGGATGACGAAATGTCAGGCATTTCTTAAATCTTCAAACCTAGAAAACAGGTTTGATTGTTAAAGTCAGGCAATGTTATGAAATATATAATTTTTCGCTTCAGAATTTGTTAGAGAGCACAACTGTTTTGACCTTGAACCTTGCACAGCCTTTTTGACAGCAATCTAATTTTAAAGGGAGTTTGTCCAAGACCAGCATTATTTCCCTCCTCTCCGATATCAAGTTGTCCAGTCTATGCACTATCTAAGCTCCAAAGATGCGCAATGGACTTCTCTGCAAAGGGCCAGCAGTTTGGCAAAAGGCCCTGCTAGAATACAAAAGAAACCCCCAAAACCCTAAGCAAGACTCAAGAGATTAAATGCAAGTTGACTTCAGAGAGCCCTGTGACAGAGCCCTCTCATCAGGAACCTAAGAGTAAACTATACTCAAACCTGTTCCATGTACTGACAGAAGGCTACTAGATATTACAATGATGATGCCATCTAAAACGACAAACTATTAGGTATAGACAGGACCTAGTCACCAGTTCACCATCCAGCTCCTCAGAACAAAGCTTTGGGAGCCAGCACAGGCTTTTTCCTAGCCTCTACAGATACACAGAGCCAACTCTTAAGTTTAAAAGAATATGAGGAAAAAAAAGAAGGTCTGGCTTTAAGTTTTGTAACTTCTTTTCTGACATTCTCTCATATATGCGTAATAGAAAATACATTTTAAGTTAACTACATTTTAGAATACATGCTGCGTCCTAGCTGTACCAAGATTCTGTAAGCACGTTGCAGAAGCAAAAACGTAATCTATTACATCTGGCAAAATACTCTGCCCAGAAGGCAGCATCCTGCCCACTTTACATTTCCATTTAAGTGTTATACAAACATAGTTTTCAAAAGCAAAGAAAAAACGCAACAAATACTGCTTGGCAGTTTTGCCATTTATGGTTGACATCTGTCAAACAATTTCCTTAATAAGGAGCTGTAATATTTATATTAAAATGAACTTAAATTCTAAGATACTCATAATTTTACTTCCACATAAAATCAAAAAGGTTCTCCTTGGTACACAGCCAAGCAAGATAAGATTTACCTCAAAACCATCAGAATTTACAAAAGATGTGCAGAACAGATGTTTCTCCCTGCCAGCATCAGAAGTACCAAGCGCTGGTCCCAGTCAGCTTTGTTCATCTTCTTCACCCTAGTCACCACTGTGTTCTGGACCGCGCAGTCTGGCAGGCCCAGAGGGATCAGTGAAAAGGATACATGTTTCTTCATACACCTGGACAGTTGCCAAATCACCTTCCAGTCGGATAATCTCCCCCACCAATTCACTGTGGCCTACTCGTACCAGCTCGTACATAGCGGCACCTGCCATGTTGCACGCCGTGACCACTGTAGAAGACAGACACATAGGTGAGTATTTTTCCTGCAGCTCAGGAAATTTACTCATCAGAAGTTAGTAAGGGCTGCACAGCATAAGCCTGGTATTCACCCAGATCAGAAGCATATTCTTGATTTCACAAAAGGGATAACTTGGCTGTCACAAATCCTGATATTTCTAGTTTAAAAGCCAAAAGAAAAAGTTTCCTTGCACTTTTCACACTGTTCCTTTATGCCCAATTAGAAGACACTATCAGAATGTAGTAGTTCACAGACAATTAATGCCATTATTTCTCTTATCTATCTTGACAGATGGCAAATGTTTAGGGTTTTAGAGACACAGTGAACTTTGACAGACATGTTACATAGGCACTTCTTTTCAGTCAGCTGGGCCACATTCACATCTGACTAAATAAAAAATGTACAAAAAAATGGCAAAAGCTCACCTGATACCTAGTAGTTACATAAACCTGTGGTTGGGGACCAGCATTTTCAAGCCACTCAAACTTCTGTTTACCTTGGGAGCATCTGGATGCTAACATAACAAACTACTTCCATGCATAGATCAAGCCAAGGCACCTGCTGAAGGCAATACATACCCTTGTATCTGGAGTGGCAGATGCCTACAAAGCTTTTAAGGAAGCACTATTTTGATCTTTTACTTTGTAGAAAAGTGATGTATATCTTGAGCCATTTAAATTAACTTTCAACAGATGAAGACTATTTTACAGCACATTTTGGGCCTGAAACCTACTGTTTTGAGTTAGCTTTCAGCAGGTCATACATGAGGCTTAGCTGCTTTAGGACAAAATTTATCATGTCTTTAATATTATAATATCAATCTTGCACACAGGTTCATGTATTTACGCAAAAATACATTTTCCACTTCTCAGGAAAGAAAGCTGTATCAGTTTAAAACTGTTTTTAAGGACCACTTCTGTAGATAAGGAATTGACAGTTAAAGAACAGGCATTTATTTAGGTAGACACAAGCCAAGAGAGTTTCTCATTCATCGAATAAGCTGCATTAACAAAAATACATGTTATTCTTCTGTTCTCACATTCCCATCCTTTCCTTCATCTTTTGAAGAGAATGCAGGAAGGAGCAGAAAAGCCGGTAGAGTCTGCACTTATTCAAAAGCTGTGACCATCAGAGCCTAAAGAAACTATTTAAGCTGATTAAGAAGGGGGAAGAGTCCTCCTCCTCCCAGTTGCACTACCACCACACTCTGCCACCTTCTCTGACCCTTGCAGCTCCTCGCTGAGCTCCTCCAGCCCACGGTGCTGTAACACAGAAGAGCTTGACACTGGCAAGGGACCGAGTATTCCGGAGAGCACAGGGTCAAACTGCATTTCAGTGAGAATGGACTATGCATCTCTCACCCTTTTAGAGAAGCTTAATACACAGCCAACCAACATAAAGCCGACCATGTGGCTTTATCTCATCCAGAAAGTGTACTGCCTTTTGTTTTTATTATTATTATTATTAATCATCCTGCTTTTGCTCATTACATCTTTAAATAAGATTAATTAGCAGTAACATCTTGTTAGTGTGTTTCTTAGTATTTTATCAGACTAAGTCAGTGATCCTTCTTTAAAAAGCCTCCCCAAAAAAAAGAAAGAAAAAAAGGCCCACCCAGAGCTCTGCTATACTTCTCTACTTCACTTCCAAGTTCACTCCCCCAAAAAAAGAAAAAGCCCCACCCAGAGCTCTACTGTACTTCTCTGCTTCACTTCCAAGTTCACTTCCAAGTGAACAAGATTAACAAGACATTACATGAAACAGAACCTATGATTTCCTTTACAAAATAATACCTACCGGGTCCCGAGACTCCATGGACATAGCCAACAAAAGCCTCTCTGTCCTCATCACGGATTTTGGGTAGCTTGGAGAATTCCATTTTGCCTGTTCAACTGTACAGAAGGGAAAAAGAAAAGAGTCCGTTCTGAAGAATACACGCATGTAGTAAGTTCTTCCTCTTCCTCCCCTCTGCTCTCCCCTTGTTTCCAGCTAGAAAGAATTCTGAAATGAAGAATTCTGAACTCACATAGCCTGAAGCAACCTTGACCACACTGATTTTAAAGCTATAAAAAGTTACAAAGTAACTCATTTAAACAAACAAAAGAACTAACATCCCCTATTGCAGAAACACAGGAGTGGAACATCACTCCATAATATGCTCCCCAAAACACTGCTGAGTGAAACAGTTACACTCCAAAAATGCCGAAACACCGCTGGACTATTTTCAAGCCCAATAACAGGATATTTAAACAATGGAGAATCTCTTCTGTCTTCCATATCTCATCTAGCCTCCTTCAAAACACGGAATTTTCCATTATTCTGAGTGAGCAAGGGAATGTTCTGGGACTGCTTTACTGCCACCAGTCTCTAAAAGGCAGTAATACAAATATTAATTGTGAAAATTCTGTTTTTGCTATCTCAGGCTGCTGAATCAGAGTGTTCAGAGGAAGAAACATACATTTTCACGAGCACACAAACATGCGAGTGCTCTTTATATGCCTCACAGCTAGGTATTATGCAGTCTTGCTCTCAGTGAAACTCATGGAGCATTATAGAAGAATTGTGTTGAATAATGGCCAAAAAAACCAACTTGCCACAGTGAAACATTGACATCTCTTGCCAGTAACTGTTTAGAGAATCTAAACAACCAGCACAGGAAAAGCTGTTTTAGAAACAGACCTCCTTGATCCAGGTTTGTCCTGTAATCAACAGTTGGGCTGTCCTGCTTCTGGTGCTGCTAAGAGTATTTAATGGTTTTGCTTTGTCAGCCCTTATCATGCTTTGCGTTACCTTGGAAACTGATCAGTGTTAGAGAACTGTAAGGCAATTCTCTACCCATTTCTGCTGTATTGACACATTTATGATACAGGACTGGTGAAAGGTGTGGTATGGCAATCCCAGCATACAATGCTCTCTGCGTACCAACAGGGCCTATCCAGCAAAAGTTCATGGTTCGGTGATATGAATCATGTGAGGCATCATGTGTTGACACTCACAGTCCTTGCAAGAAGCTTAACCTAACCTGGCATCATCTGCAAGGCAGCAAATACAGAGGCATATTTGGGCTTGAAAAATCTGCCTCGAGTACAATGAGGAAGACAACTACATTGCCACTCCTTCCACTATCATTAAAGAATGCTTTTCTGCCTGTTCTTCAGGAGCAGTAGGTAGCCGACATCTGCTCTTCTTAAAATCTTATGACTGTTTTCCAGCTTTTTAATACTATACTACAAATCCTCTGCCCTTCAGCCTCTTCACCAGTCTAAATGTTTTAAATCGGTGGCTCTGCTCTGTAAGAAAAGGATCTCCAATGATTCCAAAGTCTTATTCATCCTGAATGAATAGCTTCTTCCAGGCTCCACGTCCTGCTGGAGTGGATTGTGTAACATGGCTACCACTGAATCATTTCACAACAGCCACCCCAACAGTTGATCATGACTCAGTCACCACCAGCCTGGAGTGGAACTGCTAACTGCACTTGAGCTCGAAGGCCAAGTCAGATATCTGTTAGATCCCTCCACTCTCCATAATGATAGTTTACCCCTTAAAGCTGCCTGTTGCTTAGGCCCAGAAGACAATTTTAATTTCACTGCTTATTTCTCAAAAGTCTCCTCTGACAAATGGCAGAGGGGAGGCCCTCGCAAAGCAATCTGCAGTTCCTGAGCACCTGCTAAGAGCTGGTTCTGATCAGGCTACCTACCTCTTTTTTTTTTTTACTTTTAATAATTAAAACCATTGCAAAACTCAAGCACAATTACTGTTCGTACTGAAAAAAACAGCTGGTCTTATAAATCCACCCAAAACATTTACTTCAACATACCATGATACAGAACAATCTCTAGAGGCCTACTACCAAAATCTTCTATAGAAGCACTATAAAGAAAGAGCTGAACCAAATTCTCATAACTGAATTAGTGATGCTGTTTGGCAATTAGACAGTACAGAGTTCCATATGAAAAAGTCAATTTACAAAGGCAAGGAAAAGCAGGAAGAACACTGGCCAGTTTCAATTTAAATTAACTTTTCTTCGTATCCAAAACCTCCAGGTCAACTGACCGCCACTTGAAGCGACTGTTTATCTTTTAGAGACCCAAATAAGAACCTCAGAACAGTCATTCTGCAGTTAAAGCAGCATCCTGACACCCAGCACCTGCCTCTCTTGTTCCTGTGGCTGCTCTGCTCCCTCTCTCTTCCTACAGCCACCTTCCCCACTTACCGGCCAAGCCAACTAGAAGGGAATGGGATTCCTCTGCTAGGCCACCTAGCAACACACCAATAAACCCTGTCTTTGTCCTGATCTTTAGCATCTGCACCAATTGCTTTTACACACATATCTATTAAATATTCCAAGTGTAAAAGATGCAGTGAATTCCTCCTCACCTTTCTTTTTTTCATCTCCTATACGCCTCCAAACAAAGCACACACAGTCTAAAAAGCCAGTGCTCACCCAGCCAAGCTGACCTCTTTTTTAAGGGGTGACACACCTTTTAACATTAAATACAAATTAAAAAAAAAAAAAATGCTGTTATTTCTCTCTGCATAGTTGTCTTGTGCTTGTGTATTAGCATTACAGGTTTTCATTTTAGATGGAAAAGTCCTTGAGGGCAGAAATGTTGCCTTACCTACCTACACTGTTAAATGTCTTCATTTTTAATACTCAGCTAAAATGAAATTCCCTAAAGCACATCAGAATTTGCTAAACATAACATTATGTGTGTGCAAGCAGCATGTACTTACCCCAGAAGCCATGGTAGCTAGCCATTTTAGAAATCTACCGAGTTCCTACAGCCTTTCATAGGCCTCTCGCCAACACAGGTTATTAGGCACTATATGCAATCCACTCCTACAAAACTCACTAGCACACCTACACAGGGTATTAGCTTAATTTTAATTCCCTTATGAGCAAAGATGCATCTTGTATTCTTTACAATTTATAAACAGGAATCTTCCTCATCTTAAGCAGTTCAACAATTGATTTTAAACATGCTCTTAAGCTCTAACATGGTCATATTCTGCCTAACAGTGCCAGAAATCAAAATATTATTTGCTGCAGAACCATCTCTGACTGAAAGGTGATTTATTAAAGTAATTTTATAGTAATAATTAAATAAGAAAGGGCCAATGATCTGAGTTTTCTATCTGGATTTCTCCCCAGCACAGCAATTTGGCTACACAGTAGCCCCAAAAATGTAACCATCCCGCTCATAATGCCAGAGAAACATGTTTTCTATTACTGTTCCCCGGTTTTGCTTCAAACATTTGATCAGTCCCTGAATTTACACGATGAACTGCCTTACCACAAAGATCTCTTCAAAATTAAGATTCCAGTGAGATTTTTAGAAGGAGCCTTCTTTTGGCAAGGACAAAAAGCCATGACTATTTTATCATATAAACACAGATTCTTACCTTATTTTGCAGAAACAGGGACTAACAAAAATCCACAGGCCCAATGAAGCAAAGCCAGAATTCAGCAGTTAAGCACCACCACTTAGGAAATAATTGTCCTTCTGGTGCCCCTACACAGAAGGATGAGAAAGCCTGCTGCAGAGGGGAAAGAAATTTCTGACACACAGCAGAGGCATAACCACCTGACTTGATGAGTCATCAGTCTCTCTCTCTCTCCTGAATGCCGCAATAGCAAATCAAGCTACCTAGAGCCCAGCTGAACTCCCATCTGTGCCCTCCTTACTGCACAGGACCAAGCATAAGAAATTAAAAGAAGCATTCAGCATGCATATAAACTACCTCCTACAAAGCCAATAATCCCAATGTCCCAAGTGGTGCATGCTACTACATAAAAATCCTTGAGAGAGAGATGCATGCTTTCTGCTGGAACCAGTTTACCTACCAGCCCTCCCGTGTAATATATCCATGTGAGAGCCTGTTCTGTTCTGGAACAGCTTAACAGAACAACCGTTTAACAACAGACCGCACAGGGAGGTGCTGAAGACACTGCAATACTAATTGCTTGAGTATGTAGAACAGGTATGGATTCTTGTCAAAACAGTGAGTCTTGTGGGGCCTACTGCTGCTAATATAAGAACCCCTTCCCCTAGTCAGCAGAAGCATTGATGCAACTGCACAACATCCAACACCTTAGCGACGCAGAGTGATGTGCCACCTTGACTGACAGCTGCTAGAATCTGCTGTCGAAGATTGACAGGCACTGTATGGTCATACAAAAGACAAGCAGCTATGCGGGCTCTCCCTCAAGAAGCCGCATGAGTTGGAGTTCCCCGCAGTCTTCGCAACTTCTCAAGACTATCTTCACAAGTTCTAGGATTAGCAACACATCAAATTGGCACAAAAGATTAAACACACCAACCAAAATTGTAGTAAATAGCACAAGACCAGCAATTCAGAAGCAGCAGCATTACATTAATAAGTCACCAATGCTAGGATTCATTCTGCTGGAGTAACTTTGAACTAAGGTCATAGATTTTACTATATCTAAAACAGACTGATGTGTTTTGACTTCCTAGGGTAAAAAAATGGAGTCAGAATATAAGCCCTTACATTCAATATCCAGGAAAACCTCATAGGCATAAAACGTTGCCAAATAAAGTTTTCCAAAGAAAATCCCTCCTCCTCTTCTTAGTAAAAACCTAGATGTTGCAGGATAGTAAAGAGCACAGCCCACACTGGACAATCAGCTTAGCATCGCATTTGAGTCATGACTGCCAACATTTACTGTGTTCACCTGGGCAGACTTTGGTACAGTGCATAAGCCCCAGTGTCCAGCTGTACAATGATGTGTTGCAAAGGCCTCATAAATAACAGGATAATCACTGCCATAGATTTTCTGTAACTTGGACACTTTATACTTCCCCTTACAACAGCTGATATTTTTAAGAGGAAGTATTAAAAAAATACAGCCCCTCTACTCTGCTCTGGTGAGACCCCACCTGGAGTACTGAGTCCAGCTCTGGAGCCCTCAGCACAAGAAAGACATGGACCTGTTGGAGCAGGTCCAGGGGAGGGCCACAAAAATGATCAGGGGGATGGAACACCTCTCCTATGAAGAAAACCTGACAGAGTTGGGGTTATTCAGCCTGGAGAAGAGAAGGCTTCAGGGAGACCTTATTGCAGCCTTTCAGTACCTAAAGGGGGCTTATAAGAAAGATAAGTTGTGTCCTGCAAGGGGGAATGGTTTTAAACCAAAAGAGGGTAGATTTAGACTAGATATAAGGAAGAAATTTTTTACAATGAGGGTGGAACACTGGAACAGGTTGCCCAGGTAGATGCCCCATCCCTGGAAACATTCCAGGTCAGGTTGGACAGGGCTCTGAGCAACCTGATCTAGTTGAAGATGTTCCTGCCCACGGCAGGAGGGTTGAACTAGATGACCTTTAAAGGTCCCTTCCAACCCAAACTATTCCATGATTCTAGTGCCGAAGTTACTAGACACATGCAGAAATTCGGCAGCATTTCTGCATCTAGAATCTGGGATATTGACCCAGAAGAAACAGCATGCCCAGAACTCTAACACAGGTCACTTGGAAGGGAAGCCAAATAGTATTCTCAGGAAATCTGCTCCTTCATACTATGCAGAGTTATAATTTTACTATAATACAGCAGGGAAAATTACTCCAGAGTTCTCAGTCACCAAACAACAGAATCACTGAGGTTCGAAGGCACCTCTGGAGATCATCTAGTTCCAACCCCCTGCTCACAGCAAGCAAGAGCAGGCTGCTCAGGGCCATGTCCAGCTGGGTTTTGATTATCTCCAAAGATGGAGACCACACAGCTCTCTGGGCAACCTGTTCCAGTGTTCAGTCACCCTTACAGCAAAACGTGTTTTCTTATGTTTAAAGGGAATCCCTGTATTTCAGTTTGTGCCCATTGCTTCTTGTTATTTCAGCAGATACCACTGAAAATAATCTGGCTCCATCTTTTTTGCTCCCTCCCACTAGGCATTTGTATACTTTACCATAAGATTCTCTGAGCCTTCTCTTCCCAAGGCTATATAATCCCATCTCTCTCAGCCTCTCCTCATATGAAAGACGCTCCAAACCTTTAACGGTCTTTGTGGCCCTTTTCTGGACCCACTCCATTAAGTCCATGTCTTCCTTCTACTGGAGAATCCAGAATCAGCCACAGCACTCCAGATGTGTTTTCCCCAGAGCTTAATCGAGGGGAAAAAGCACCTCCCTGAACCTGCTGGCAGCGTTCTTCCTAATGCAGCTCAGGATAGCGCTGGCCTTTGCCACAAGGACACTTTGCCAGCTCATGTTCAACGTGATGTCTTCCAGGACCTCTAGTCCTTTTCTGCAAAGCCACTTTAGAGCCAGCCGGTCCCTAGCCTGTAGCAGGGCATGCGGTTACTCCTCCCCAGGTGCAGGACTTGGCATCTCCCTTTGTCGAACTTCATGAGATTCCTGTCAGCTTATTTTTCCAGTCTGCCAAGGTCCCTCTGTACGGCAGCACAGCCCTCTGCTATATCAAACTTCCAATTTTGTATCATCTGCACCCTAAGGAAACCAGGCAGGAGTTGCCTCCTGTGCTCAACACAATGATGTGGCTTAGTCTTCTCTTCACACAGACATCAAGAAACTAACTGTACCAACCTTCTTGCCATAAGCTTAGAATTAGAAGTATCATTGTTTCTCAAACACAACAATACAGACATTCTTCCATTTAATTATTCATACAATTCCAGTTGCCACAGGGCACTTTGAGGCCACCTCTGCTCTCGATAGGTCAGGAATCTGTTTAAGAGATGCTCAGGTACATACTGTGGATCCATTTGCAACCATACAAGACAATTCATCTTTCATGCAACTTGTTTCTTGGGTACTACAAAACCCCTTCCTTTCACATGAGGCTTGCTACTCAGCACATGTACAGGTAAATCCAGGTGTATTCAAGAAAAAAAGATAGGAAAAAGAATTACACTGCCACTGTCAGCACAGTACACAATGGCTACAAATGGAGACTGTGCAACATGGCAATTCATGAAGCCCATCGCAAGCTCCTACTGCCTTCTTCCCCAAAACAGATGGGGACTTAGCTGTGGGTATGCCAATACACACAAGCCTGATACTTTCAGCAAACATCATGCCTTGCACACAAGCTAAATATATATAAAATATATTTATATTTAATACATATATACAGCATAAGAGACTCTCCCCTACCACAAAGATGGGGTGTAAAGTCTGTCCATGCAAGAAGTACCACCACCACGAATTGTTATTCAAGCATCCAAGCTTTTATTCAGAAACTTGGGAGATTCCTCCAGTTAGCTCAGAACAGGATTAGAAAAAAAGTTGTGTTTGAAAATGACCAAGAAGTTAGCAGCAGCGATAAATCTGGGTAGAAAGGTTAGCAAGGCATTCATTGCATACCTGCTTTGACCCACTGAAGATTTGATCAGCTCAGTAGATAACCGGCCTTCTGACTTCAAATGCAGTTATCACACTATATCTAGAATTGATAAAGATCCTAGTTTTATCAATTAAAATACTCCTGTTGCTAGAGAAAGCCACATCGTCCATTTGGAAAAAATCTTCATCAGCTGACTGGCTACATGCTACAGAGTTTTCCATAATAGGGTTTTCTACACCGATTCTTTCCTCCCAGCCCAGAAGGCTTCTCCAGAGGAGCACTAGAGGTGGAAATGGATGAGCTTCCCCTTATTTCTTACTTGCTACACTGCTTCACAAGCTTCCTACTGCGAAAAATTTGACATTCCTTTCAGCCTGCTATTCAGCCTGCCCCTTCTTTGGCTTGATAGACTTTCACACAAAAGAAAGATCTAATGCAACTGAGATCCAAGCCATAACACAGAATACTAATACAATATTCATTTCTGTGTCCCACAGTGGCCACCTTTTCTTATCCTGATCCTGTCATTTAGCTGCTAGAGCTGAAAAGTTCTGCAGCCATCTGCTTAGCGCAATGCTCAGTCATTTCCTCTAGACGAGCAACATTTTCATTACCCTCGCTAACGTTACTGCAGAGCTAAAATCCACCCTTTTATTAAATAAAAGTCACTCTACTTTTAGGTGCATTTGGCATCATTACTTGAAATACTTTTTGTTGCTCTAACCTTTAAGATGACAAACATCAAAATGAGATGAACGCAAAGCTGTAAGCAATTATAGCAGCAAACTTTACTACAGTTCAGTAGAGCAACTTCTGAATAGATGATCCTTACCTTCCACAGATCCTTTGTCCACACAGACAAAAGGTGTGCAATGTCATAAAACAACTATTGCTAGATTTGTAAGTCAGGCTCAGTTTTACATGCAGAAATATATTAGTAATTTGGGCTCATTAAAACACATCGGCTCCTCTATGAGCCTCACCACTGCCTAACCCCTTGTCCCTAAATGTAATAGCTAAAATACTGAGCACAAGTTTGGAATAAGCATTTCATCATTACACTTTCAGAGCAGTCTTTAAAGTCGGGATATTATGGAATCTTCAATTTATTATGTGAGCTATATGATGGCTAGTTTGAAGAGAGTTAGATGAACATCTTTGAGAAAGATCTAATACCC